TTGGAGTGAAGCCACTCAGCTGCACCTCACCTCAGATCTGGCAACACGGGACCAGTCTTATGAACTATCTGCGCATGGTGAATCTCCATATTTATTATATGTCCAAAGCAGGAAACAAGATGTAACATTTGATATCAGACATCAGTTTAATCTTCTTTTTACATTCACGCTTTTCTTAACATGCTTGAGTAAACTGTGACTCCTATTTATTAACGCTAGTAAGATTAGTGTTGCTGCAATTAGCATTTATTTTTAGAGCAGGTTAAACTTGAGAAAACACAGAAAATACTGTTTTAAAATTGCTATTCTACAAAGCCTCAGGTGACATCTTCAATTAGAGCTTGAAACAGTTACAGCGCTTGAAGTACTGAGTCGATGGAAATAAACCTACCATAATTTTTATAGTCAGTTAATTATTGGAAAGACTAAATATGAGCTGTTTTCAGCCATAAAAAATTGAGGATTTTCCTTATGTGAAATTAAACTGACTCTTAATGCTTGGGAATGTTGGTTAGCAAAAACGAAATATCATTTTGTGACCATCTGCCGCTCCCATCAGCGCGTTAATGATCCACCCCACTCGCTGCTCACGATGTGGATTTTGATCTCAGACACACACCTGTCACATTTCGTGCCTGTAACTAGGTTACAGTGTTGGACAAATTATTCAAAACCTCCTTTATGATGTTTTCTGCTAGAGCTGAGTTCTCCAGGACTACATTTGGAGAACACACACAGAGGAAAAACAGACTCCCAGGGGAAAAACAACAATAAACAGTTAGTTTGATAAGTATTTGGACAATAACACAATTTTTGTGATTGTGTCTTTGTACACCGCCACCGTGGATTTTAATTCAAACAATTAAAATGTGATTGAAGTATAGACTTTAAGCTTTAATTCACAGGGCTTAACATAAATGTCACATTAATTGTTTAGGAATTACAGACACTGTCATACACAGTTCCCCTTGTTCAGAGGCTTAAAAATAATTGGATCAAATAACACAATTTCAAATTTGAGGATTGCTTTTAATACATGGCTGAAAATCCTTTGACTCCCAGATATCTGGAACCCATGGACATCACCAAATGCTGTGTTTCCTCTCCCGGGATGCTCTGCCATGGTTTATCTGGAGCCACCTACACTTGCTGCTTGTTTGTGGGGCTCCCTGCACTTGGTTTTACCTTCAGTGACTGAAACACTGCTCTGATGACCTGTGATCACGAGATTTGGAGACTTGGCTACTCACAGATATCCCATTTCTTTGCCTTGGAAACTCATGGGATGCTTTTGCAGTTTGCTTCGGGTCATTATCCATTTGCGCAGTGAAGGACCGTTCAATCAGTTTTGCAGCATTAGGCTGAATCTGAGCAGAGAGTGTAGCCCTGTACACTTCAGAATTCATCCTGCTACTTCTATCTGCAGTAACATTATCGACAAACACCAATAATGTGGTTCCCATGGCAGCCATGCATGCTCATGTCGTATGCTTCAGATGATGAGCTGTTTCTCTCTTCAATACTGATGAAACAAGTTCTTCATGTTTCATCAGTCTGAAGAATGGTTTTCAAACCAAACTCTTTCAGATGTTTTCTCTCCAATCTTGCCTTGTTGTTCTTGAGTGTAACCAGTAGTTTGCAGCTTGTTGTAAACCCTCACAAAGGTCTCTCTTGATTCTGTCTTTGATAATGACACGGCTATTTCCTCAAGAGTGTTCTTGATTGGTTTGATGTTGTGAAGTTGCTTTTCTTAACCAAGGAAAAAATATGCTCATCTACTTTATCTGTCTTTCAGGCCTATTATTAATAATGATAATAGTAATAACAACAATAATGACAATAATAGCTATTTTATAGCACTTTTTACCGTTGCAAAGTGTTTCACAGTTTGAATAAAAACCATGAATTAAAGATAAATATGAATGTTGTAGCATACAGACACGTAGTCAAACACTCGGTCTTGCATTCATTTATACAAACACACTTCCATACACAAATTAGATGTAAATTATGGCCAAAGAAAGATGCTTTTTCAGATCACCTCTCTGATTTGCATTGGCATCTCGTTGGACCTCATACTGAGAGTTCAAGAAAACGGATAAAAACTACAATCAACCTCCACTTTTATCTGCTTCACTTGTCAAAGGAACACGGCTCATCTGGCAATGAAAACTGCTCGTCAAGCATCCAGTTACCTTTGGACCTCTGAAAATGTCAAATAAAGGCTGTAATTTCTAAACAGTTAATGTAATGCTTATTTAAACTCCTTGAATTACAGCTGAAAGTCTGCACTTTAGTCACGTATTGAATGTTTGATTTAAAAGCCTCTGTGTTTGTGTAAAGACCCACAATTACAAAATTCTCCAAATATTTGCTACAAAAACTTGGTACTTTGTAGCATATAAAAAAACTGAATGAAAAATCAAATAAATAGACTTATTCAATTTCCAAACATAGGTGTAGTATAACGACATGCCACAGTAGTTTCTACACTGTCAAGATCACATTTTACCATAAAGACACACAAAAGAAACAGACAGATAAAAATGATGACTTCTCCTCTTCATAGTGATTAAAAGCAGGGAAAAGTAAAGATCCTACCACTTGAGAAAGGATTGAATTAGCAGCATGTGTTCAGAAAAGACTCATAATTATTTATGACTCGTCATTTTGTTTAGTTTTCTTTTAACTGAAATATTGATAAATGAGAAGAGTACAGCTGAAATGTGTATCATCCTCATCTCATGTTGCATGTAACCTCTCTGTTTTGTTGTTCTTTGTCATCTCCCATCTCTGGTCGTCTGTTTCTCTCATCGACGACCTGTTGTCAAGGCAGCTCGAGTCTCATCTCTCACTGCTCCCGCCCCACCGGCCCGACATCTGTCTTTGTTAGTCAACATCATGGTGTGCTCCATCTTCAGCGCTGCGCCATTCATCATAGTTCTCGCTTACTGTGCCAGCACCTGGCTTTTGAAGAGAGGGAGCTGAGCTGTGAGCTGCAGGTCTGAGTCTTATTAGAGAGCTCTTGACCCTCTCTGCTGCTCTGCCTGAGCCTCTCGTCAGTCAGTTTCTCCTAGTTGATCCAAAACTGATCATCCTTGTCTAGTCCAGCCTCAGATGCTTTCTCTGCCTGTCTTAGTCTTTTTCCCTCTCTTTCCTCCTGATCACTGGTGATACTATCTGTCTAACCATGACCGCTAGTGAGAAGAAGTATGTTTGCTTTATGCAGAATGCTGGCTTAGTTTATTTCTCCACATCTTTTCATGTTTTCTGTGTTCTCCACTCTCTGTTTTTCTTACCTTTCCTTCTCTCCTTCATGCTTCTGTCATACTTCCTCACCTCACTCTCTGTCTACCTGCCAGGTGGAGTACGATGGTTTGACAGGGCGAGTGGAGTTTAACAGCAAAGGTCAGAGGACCAACTACACCCTGCGGATCCTGGAGAAACACAGAGGAGGCCACAAAGAGGTCAGAAGTCACTTGCTATCATGCAGCAGCCAGGTCACATTGCCCTCAGGTTCTGGGTTAGTTACAGGTCACTTGTCTCATTTCAGAAAGCCTGCAGCAGCGTTTAACACCGAGGTCAGCCTCATCACAAACTCCCCTGATAGCAACAATATCTTTACTCTGTGATATACGTTTTATTTGACAGCATTTTACTTTTTAATTGCTGTCAGATGCGGCTCATGTTTGAACAGTGGTTTCAGTTTGAATTAATTCTACATTTCACTGATTACAAATGTGGAGTGTTAAAGCACGGGAGCTTTTTTCCTAAAGATTTGCTCGATTATTTGTTTTCTGATCGAAAAATATAAAACCTCTGTGTCATAAACGACACATTTATTTTCTTTTTATGGTTACAAACAATAGCTTGACATTGGTTTGTAAAAATCAGTGTTTGATATTTGCCTTAAGCTCAGTGCACAGCAGACAGATGTGCAGCTCTGCTCTGGTGTTTGTTTTTGTCTCGTATAGAACTGGATTTGCTTTAGGCTTAGTTTTAATCTGTATTTGATTTGGACTCTGTCCTTAATTGAACTCTGAGCTGGATTGTAGCTTGCAATAAGCTACACTAATGTGATCAATGATGGTTCCTTGAAAATCTTGTGCTCATCTTTTTTCACAGAAATGGATCAGAGGTGTAGGTGTAGTCTAACAATCAGTTCGGTTTGAGTACATTAAAGGCTGGGCCATGAATCAATATCATCTCCCATTCCCTTTCAACAGAAATGTACCTTCACAGTACGGCCATGTTGGACAGAAGTAGAGCCGAAGTTAGCAATTTTAATGAGCAAAGTTTTCACAGTGAAATGCAAATAAAGCACAGCTCATGTGGAGAACTCGGGGGACACTCAATTAAAACAATTAAAACAAAAAGCACACTCTTAACAGAAGTGTCAAAGCTTATCTAACTTGTCTTGTTAAAATGAAGAAAAAATGAATTCTGTGCTCCCTTTCCTACTCTAAACAAACCAAGAGTACAGAATAGTTTTTCTAAACAAAGTGTAGCCTTAACTGTGGTAGAAGGAATATCAATGAGCAGAGAAAACAGGTTCACCATTGGCACGGTCTCCAGGGTGCAGCAACAGATTACAAAACTTCAAAGAGACTAGAATTCATTGACAAGCAGCGTGCACCAAACTACAACCGTCCTCTCGAACAGAGACACGCTCAAAGGGGCGGCACGGTGGCTCTAAATCACAGGAACAAGTGAAGGCACCATTTAGCAGCACACTCTAATCAGCATTTAAAGCCAGAATATGGGAACAAAGTAATTAACGCTAAAAGTGAAAACATATATTTAATGTGCCCCTGCTTTAACTTTTTTTGACTGGCAGTGTGTAGATATAGTTATTGGAAAGCAAGCACTGAGTATTGTGTATGATACACAGCAATGTGTAGCAGGAAAACACTGTGTTTACTTGACAATGAATATAATTGAGCAATAGTGGGGGTGTTTTTTAATTGCTGAATTTGTAAGAATAATAAAAATAACTTTTTAAAGTCTCATGCTTCCAGTTTGATCTCTTGAACTAGTCAAGCACAGGCCACAGTAGATTAGTTTAGGCTAGTTGGACAATGTGCGCTACCAAACTGTTGGCAGGCCCAGCAGCAAATGAGGTGTTCAGGAGCATTTTGGTACATTATTGTGACAATGCAGTCCACATGAGTAAGCTAGAAGGAAAGGTGAGGGCAGGTGGAAATCAGAGTGCATTCCACCTGCATTTACTAAATGAAGTATACACACCACTGCAGCCTCCGACTGAGGGGGAATTACGCTGCAGTTCATTGGCTGGAGGAAACACTTCTTTTTCACCTCTTCTTAATGTCTTCCTGGGCTCTGCACTTGGCCAGCTGTTTTCCATGTTAACACAAAATGCCACCTGCTACATATACTTAGAGGTAGACTTTTACTTAGTTGAGTGTTAACTTGAGGTAATGAACATCTCTGCACAGCGGCACCCACACTCCAGGCAGGCAGCAGTGGTTCAGAGATAAAAAAAACTCCTCTTAAATGTCAGGGCAGGATAAAGAGTGTCACAGGAAAGCTGTGATTCTGTCTGTGGAGTCATTACCTCTTCTTTGACCTATTGAAAGATGTACAGTAATATCTCCTGAAGAAATGCCTCTGCGAGCTGCTGTTCCACCCAGCGCATTGGTTAGGTCATAATCACACACTTATGTACCTAAGTGACTTTACAGTCTCCATAAAATGGAAATATGGGAACAGTATTTATGCAATTTAAAAAAGGTGTGCGTAAGGGAAAAAAAAATTACAGTGGAACTTCTGATCATGAATGCCTTTCATTACCGCCTTTGCCATCTTGTCCCAGCTCATTGCTCTGCTTATAAACAGGAGCTTTTTTTCCCACAGTGGTGCATAGTACTGCGAGTACATATACGGCTCCGTGGGGAACAATTAACTCGCTATGCATATGCAGAATCTAACAGTGCGGAGCCCAAATCCCAAAACATGAAACGTGCAAAAGGTGTTTTTAACAACAAAACAGCTGCTGTATATTATTTATCTAAGAATAACAGCTTATTTTTTGTCACGCTTTTTCTTCATGTTAGATCGGTATCTGGTACTCAAACAACACCCTGGCAATGAACTCCACCAGTCTGGATATTAATGTCTCAGAGACGCTGGCAAACAAGACCCTCATTGTCACCACCATACTGGTAAGGTCACGGCTGCTCTCTGACGCTCCACATTAGTGAGATCGGAGTTGTTTTTTTGTTGCTTCGCAGGCTGTGCTGGAGCTCGTGCTGTGTTGTGGTCTGTTTCTGATAATTTTGCTGTCGCCGCTGTAACTGTCATAGAAACTGACAGATCACCGAGGGAGATGTGTAACTAAAAACCAGACTGCTACAGTCCTGGTCTACTGATTATGTCCAAACCCAATAAGCTGTCTCCTTGTAGGGTTTGGACATATGATTGATATCTACAGGTTGGTGTAGAGATGTGAAAGAAACACCCAGACAGATAGATTCAGATTCACTGAATCCTAAAATACTGTTAACATCCTGTGATAGCACACTGTGTTAGCTAATTAGCCTTTTCTAAATCAGTCTGTTGATTGTTGATGATGCGTAACTGTTGAAGCCAAATTTCATAACATCGAACATTACGCCGTTTATGGGGGAAATTAAAAATAAACATGGAAAACATCTGAAGCAGCTCGAGCTTTAGGACAAAAAAAGAAAGGAAAGGGAAAGAAAACAACTTGTTTCTGTTTCTTGGGTTGTGTCAGATATGAAGATGTTTAGCAGTAAAGAAAAAGCCATTTTGCTGTATTCTCCCAAGATGTAGACAAATTCACTGTTGTTTGTGTGTTAGAGGGTTTGGGTTGGTTTAGACACATGATGCAAGCTTTATGAAACAATTGTTGTTGTTTTTTGTTTTTTTTAATGTCAATATATTTGGCGCACTGCTCAGATCTGCAAGAACACTGCCTGCCTTCCCTTGATACCCTGGTTTATCTGCGTCGATCCATTTTGTGGCTAGACAGTGGTTACTGAATGTTTTTTTTCTACCCTTACCTACGTCTGTAGCTATCTTCCACAATCCAATTTATGTCTTTTAAACCAATTTAGTATTGGACTTCCATAACTGTAGGGGACTCACAAGAGGGAGATAAAAATGGTCTAAATTGATTCTGCTCAAGCTGAGATATCTTGACTTTTAGCACTGGGCAAGCTCCAAGAACAACAACTCTAAAATTCCCGAGATGCATCTGTGTATTGTTCTTTTGTGCCATGTCTCTAAAAAAAAGCTTTCTAGCCTTTTCAGTTAGGAAAAACGAACTAATGCACCTTTTGATAAGTAAAATGATTACCATGTTAAATGTTTTCTCTTTTAAGTGCCTTTAATTTGAAATGACTGCCAGAGTTATCTTTGAAGACACAAATTCAGGCTTTTACAAAATTGTCTGTGATTCCCTAATAGAAAAGTGCTGGCATTCCCATATCGCTGGAAAAATGGTTATTTGGCTTGTTGCAAAGAACACAATACCACACGTGACTGTGGAGTAAATATAAAGCCAGTTAGCGCAGAATAGCATAGCGCAAACACTGCAAAGTATTGAGGTTTCTCACATGACATCATGGACACATTACGCCACCATACTGGATGTGAGAAAACTACTGGTTGCTAGGGAAACCTGTATTACCAGACTGGTTGCCTGTACTGTAGTTCCTGTAGGTTTCTGGCTTTTGCTGGATGAAATTGGTTGCAAAGAAGATGGTCCACCAAAAACTTTCTAGCAATTACTTTGTTTCTTAACAGGTTGCCATGGATGCCTGTAGCTTTTCACTTACTTGCTAGTACTGTACTCACCAAGCGGTAGTACAGCTTGATAAAGCGTGACACAAACCAGAAATAGAGATGGCTTGCCTTCAAAGTAAAAAGTTTTGCCTCAGCACTGCAGTTAGCGTGTTTCAAAGGGCACAACTTTTACTCCATTTCCAGCTTGCATCCACTTTTCAGTTTCACTACAGCTTGGAGAGTAGCTGTACTGTGTTTGTAGGACGTCCGTCACTTCCATGCGAACTACAACTGCAACAGAATGCAAGTTGTTTTTTCCCCCATAGCTGGGTTTGGTGATTTGGCAACTTCCAGCAACCACTTGAAAATGAGATGAGATGATGAGATAGCCTTTATTTGTCAGTTGCAGTTGCCCACAACCGAGATGACCTTGCCGACCGTACATACAATACACAAACATCACATTGGGGAGACAGGTCAGGTTAGGTAGCAAGGAAAAAAAAACATCAAAATGTGTAACACAAAAGGATAATACAGGAATGCACAGGTATCAACACACCATAACACAATAAAACACAGACAAGCAACATGGGAGAGTATTCCAGTGTGTACAGCTGATCTGGGACCGCTGCAATCTTCGATTGCGCCTCCAGCTGATCCGGTGTCCACATCGGATGGGAGGTAAGCATAGGAGGAGGCATTGGATTCGGGGGAGGGAGGGTGATAGTGAGGGCGTATCAGTATCAGTGTACATGTTTTGTGCGTGTGCATGTGCATGTGTGTGTATTCCGTGTTCAGCTGAGAGAAAGTGTCACCACGCCCGGTTAAGCGAAGGTCAACAGTGTCCAGTGGACCCAGGTGGCCTTGAATGAGGTACAAAGAGTTCTGACAACAATCCTGTTATCATAGGAAGAATTTGTTGTTCCAGTCAGCTTCAACCTTGGCAGGCCTTCAGCTGGCGCCAGGGGGGCTGCATAAGTGGAGATGGTGAATGTTTGGGTTTAGTGCGAACAACTGCATCCAATTTTTACAGTTGGTCTAATGTCCGTTACTGGTCACCAATTATCTCAATTCCCGTTGTTCTTCTCCAAGATCTTATACATATTGCGTTCAAAACTCAGTCTGAGTACTCACACCCCTGCCAATCGTCGATCATGTCGGCCAGCCTTATGGGATTTTGAACAGCTGTAGCCGCTTCCTGTTCTTTGATAAGCAAGACCAAGCAGGTCCAAGCCAGCTCCAATCAGCCCGAACTCTGTTATTGTGGTTCCAAATTGGTAGATGTCGTTCATTGTCCTCCATCGAGAGTGTCGCCAGACACACGACGCAACCGACCATCGAGTATCCGGCAGCAAACGTCTCCGCAGGACAATCGGGCTCTCCCAAGCCCAGCAGGGTGTCGCTTCCATTATGGGACCAGTTGATCAAATCCATAATTCTTTAGGTTTTAGAGAACAAGACTGAGAAACTCTTTGAAGGTTAGAGTTAGACGAGACTAGACAAACACATAGAAGCAGCAGCAGGGAAGATAAGGGAGGGAGAGGGGGAAAGATGCGTCTGCCTCCTCTGAGAGCCAAAGAGAGTCAGGGAATACTCATTTTCCCTCATCTGGTGGTTGCCATATGGTCTAGGCCCAAGTGACTGTGGGCTTACTCACTTGATCCTTCATTGTCACCATGATTGTCACACCAAAATAGCAGATAAGTTAACATTATGTTGTCAGTGGTCATCTGTCTGCATAAACCTCAATATAACACAAGTAAACTTTGAATGAGTTGTAGGTGGAACTCATTATGAGTTTCATCGTGTTTCCGGCCTTTTGCTTAGCTGTCTTTTATTTTAGTGAACTCAGCTCTGATCCAGGCAGATCAGCTGATCTCAGTGCTGGCCCTCTTTGGCTCTACGGTTCACCTGACACCCTCCTACACATCCAATTGGCTATTCCATTCAGGGCATGCCATTGAAGCTTCTATAGCCTGCAGACCAATCCTCAGCAAATCCACTCTTTCTTTCATGCTATATCTGACATAATCAGCGCTGTATCTTTCTTCTTTGATGCCTGCTTTGTTTTGTGCTAAGGTTCTTGCTGCTGCTCTGCGGGCCTCTGACGTTCCACATATGTGTATGAAGGATGGTGATATCCCACAACAGAGCCATGTCATCAAACATAAAATCCTGCAGATAGAAATATAAATCTCCCTTTGGCTGTAGTGATCCTGACTTAACACTCTAACTTTCTTCTTTTTTTGTGTGTCTTCATGCCAGAAAGCAAATAAGCATATTCCCCCAAACATTCAAGCCATTGCTTTAATTAAGCAAATAATCTCTGATCAAGCAGATATTTATAGTTTTGGACTGAGACCTCGTCATGTGTCCCTCATGTTCAGGAGAACCCATATGTGATGCGTAAAGACAACTACCAAGACTTCCAGGGAAATGACCAGTATGAGGGCTTCTGTGTTGACATGCTGAGGGAACTGGCAGACATCTTGAAATTCTCCTTCAAGATCAAGCTGGTGGATGATGGCCTGTATGGGGCCCCAGAGCCCAACGGCTCTTGGACTGGCATGGTTGGAGAGCTAATCAACAGGGTGAGTACTCTCACTCCCTCTCCAAGTGTTACACACACACACAAACACAGACACATGCACATGCACACTCCATAAACACAGAAACATGCACTAATATTCTAAGCAGTCTCCCTACAAAAGGAGGCGTATAATGAACACAACTATGCATGCACACACTGCCACACCAGACACACACACTCACACTTGCTCTGTAGCCCCAAACCACAACTCTGCTGTAACTTCCCATGTTTCAAATTGCCCTCAGAGGGGAGTAAGACTCTTATCTAGGACAAAAGCTGACTTGATAATTCCCCAAAAGAGAGTGGTAACATTGCCTAAAAATTGTCTGCACCACCGTTCCTCTCTGTAACCCCCCCCCCCCTCCCCCCCTCCCCATTTCTTCCTGTCCAGGCCTAGTGTGCCTCTGATAGACACTCTGGTTGAGGCAGGCTAATGAGAGCCCCTCTCTGCTTAATTACCATAAGGTATACTTCAATTACCAGGCTGTGGTCCCCGTGTGGGGCATGCCACACTGGTGCTCCCCCAGCTCTCCACGCTTCCTCTCTCCCTGCCCTTCCCACTGCCTGATCACTCAGCTCTAATTAGCGGCCCATGTTCATCAATTAGCTTTTAATGGAAGAGATGGAGAGGAGGCAGCACAACCAGAGACCTGCAAGGTTTTATACAGGTGGAAAGACCAGTCACCCAGTGCTTACTCGCAATTAGCCTCATTTTTATGGTGGGTAATGGGTGTGAGACAGAGTGCACTTCTGTATGTTTCTGCAAATGTATTTTCAAGTGCATAGTCAAACTTTTAATTTTTCATCATTCAAATAAACATTTTGAACAAGAAGAGTGCTCTCTATAGTCCATCTATTTTGCACTCCTACCTGACCATTTGTTGTTGTTTTTTTCTTGCCTCTCATTCACTTTCTCTCTCTCTCGCTCTCTTTCCACCAATCTATCTTCACAAATCTTCCAGAAAGCAGACCTGGCCGTGGCAGGTTTCACCATCACATCAGAAAGAGAGAAAGTTATCGACTTTTCTAAGCCGTTCATGACCCTGGGGATCAGCATCTTGTACAGAGTTCAACTGGTGAGGGTGTTATCTAGGCCTGTGCACATACTCGCTACAGATCTTGTGCTGGATTTTATTTCTTTTACCTTCACTGCTTTATTGCCAACTGGGTCATACAGAGAACGACAACTTGCACTTGTTAAAATGAGGCTTAAGGAATCTTATCTTCGAAGCTGATGATTGTATGTCTGCAGTATCCTGCAGGCTGCATCCACTAAGTCCACACTGAAATTTATAGGTATAATTCATATTGCTCAATAAGTCAGTGTGCTGTAACTGGGCAACAGCTTTACATTGCTAATGAGGCTTTGGATCTAAGCCAAGTCTGCTTCAGCACCAAGCATTGTGAAACAGAGTGTTTATGGATTGTAGCATTAGTGTATCAAAGCACTGCAGACTTTAGTATCAAAGTGCAGTGAAGGACACTGCCCTCCTGTGGTGCAAAGGGGACTCTCCCTGACAACTGAGACATTGAGACCTTGTTTTCTAACAGATTGTAGCTTCCTGTATGTCCATTAGTCACCATCTGTCTCTGCTTCTACAGCTTTCTACTTCTCTTTCTTCTCTTCTATGCACCAGGGTCGGAAGCCCGGTTATTTCTCCTTCCTCGATCCCTTCTCTCCAGCCGTCTGGCTCTTCATGTTGCTCGCCTACCTGGCTGTCAGCTGTGTGCTGTTTCTGGCTGCAAGGTCAGTGCATTACATCACACACTGTACTGATTGTCTGCAGTTCACATCAGAGCTCCATCATTTTTTATCTTGTTGAACACAAGTCACCTGTCACATATTGAAATTTCTTACCTTATGCAACCTACCGCAGACAGTTTTGACAAAGGTTGAATGACTGATTGGAGATGACTTGAGTGATGTGACAGAGGTACATTACGTGGTCGCCTTACTTTACCTTTATTTTTCGCATCAGGTTAAGCCCCTACGAGTGGTACAATCCTCACCCATGTCTTCGAGAGCGCAGAGACATGCTGGAAAACCAGTACACTCTGGGAAACAGCTTGTGGTTCCCTGTTGGAGGCTTCATGCAGCAGGGATCAGAAATAATGCCCAGAGCCTTATCCACCAGATGTGTTAGTGGAGTGTGGTAAGTTATAGTATGATTACAATGCATTTGTTTGTCTTTGTCAACCAGTATAAAGTCCACGCCTACTCAGAAATATGTCTTGCATTCACTGTCTCTTCACTCGTAAGTTTGTCCTTCACTGTTTAGAAAGGTGTTTATACTGAGTTGACATTAGTAGGCTGATTACGGATTCCTCCGCTGAAGGGAAAAGTTTCTACAATATAAATTTAAGACGCGGCTGGATGTGGAAGTGAGTAAGGAAGAAGGAGTCAGCTACTTTATTGATTTTCTTTTTTTATAACACAGGCACAGATTATTATTCAAAGCAGCATTCAAAGAGTATTTTTCTTGAGGGGATCTTTGCCTTTTTTATCAGACTTTTGAGAAATTGTGTAAAAGGTACTGCATGATGTTCTAATACATTTTACATGTTGCAAAATGCATGCAATCAATTATATTTGAACAGGATTTGGTTGCGCATAGGTCAGTAGTTTGTGTGGAGAGCAAAACAGGATTTACCTTTCCCATCATTCGATCTAGAAACCATTAGCAATCATAGCTATGATGATGATTTAGCTTTTTAAAACGTATCTGATTTATAAAACACTGACAAGCACCAAAACCTAGAACACTGGCTGCACCAGAAGGCTGCATAAAAATGGGTTGTTACCCACAGAGACTAAGCGAGCAGAATAGCTGATGCTTGCATGGGTTTTTGCTAAACACAAACGTCCACCACAAAACAGTAACTACTGAACAGTAGAAGCAGTGAAGATAATGGTAAATGGTCTGTATTTGTATAGCGCTTTTTACTAGTCCCCACTAGGGACCCCAAAGCGCTTTACACACCCAGTCATCCACCCATTCACACACACATTCACACACTGGTGGAGGCAGGCTACAGTTGTAGCCACAGCTGCCCTGGGGCAGACTGACAGAAGCGAGGCTGCCATATCGCGCCATCGGCCCCTCTGGCCAACACCAGTAGGCGGTAGGTGAAGTCCGAGTCGGGGCTCGAAGCGGCAACCTTCCGATTACAAGGCGAACTCCCAACTCTTGAGCCACGATCGATAATAGTAAAATAATAAAATATTAGTAAAGTTCAATATTTAAATCATTTAAAGTTAATTTGTATATCACCAAATCACTACATCAGACATCTCAAGGGGTTTTATACTGTAAGTTAAAATCCATACAGTATTTTGGAGAAGATCACAGTAATCAAATGACTCCCTGTGAGCATGAACTTTGTGATATTGGGAAGGGAACCTTTAGCAGAGTTGGGCTCAGGAAGGCTGCCGCGATGGCTCAGGGTTGAGGGGAAATAGAACACAGGGAGACAGGAAAAAACAAAGACTAGGAGAGACTGCAAACAAAAATTTGAAATGCTGAATACACACGGGAAGTGAAAAGAAATGGAAAATGGAGAAGAAATACTCAGTGCATCATAGAAAGTCCTGCAGCAGTCTGACCCTATTGCACCATAACCAAGGGATGGATCAGGGCGCCCTGATCCAGCCTTAACTATAACCTTTAGCCAAAAGGCAAATTTTAAGTCTAATCTTCAAAGTAGGAATCCAAACTGGGAACTGGTCCCAAAGAGGAGAGGTCTGAAAGCTGAAGGGTTTGCCTCCCATTCTACTTTTAAAAACAAGGAACCACAAGAAAGCCAGCTGTCTGAGAGAGAAGTGCTCTGTTACAATATGAAATTATGTGGTCTTTAAGATATAATGGGGCCTTTTATGATGGGGGATTTTAAATTAATTTCTGAATTAAATAGGGAGCCAATGAACAGAAGGTGGTATTGGAGAAATATGAACTTTTTTCAGATCCCTCTTAGTGCTCATACTGAAGGGGTTTGCATTAACTGGGGATTTTTAGAGATGACAATAATGAATTTATAAGTACATGAATAATTCTTCAGCATCACTTAGACAGGATATTTTAATTTTAGAGATGAGCAGATAAGACCTACATGTTTGTTTAATATGTGCACTGAAGGAAAGAAATGGTGAAAAATGAGTGTTACTGGTTACATCCTGAGTATCTGGTTAGACATGTGTCTAATATTTTTGGGGCTAAGTACAATTTAGATGCAGGAATTAGGAGATCATTCACACCTTTGTGTCTTTAAGACATGCCTATAGTTTAACTAGTTGATTTGTATTATCTGACTTCATCTAAATAGCAATGCAAATGTATGCTGTATCTTCTAATAGTAATGTCTAAGAGAAACATGCTAATAGAATCGGTCCTAGCACATAACCCTGCAGAACTCCATATTTAACCTTGTGCGTGAAGACGATTAGCCCGAGTTACTGGAGTTGATTCTAACCACTGCACCACAGTACCTATAATAGCAAAGGTGGGCTCAGATCTCTGTAATAAAATGTTGTGGTCAACAGTATAAAATGCTGCACTGACAAGCACAGAGATGAGTCCACTGTCAGAGGCTATAAGAAGATCATTTGTAACTTTCACTAATGCTGTTTCTGTGCTGTGATGAGTTCTGAATCTTGACTGACACTCTTCAAATAAACCACTCCTCCGCAGATGATCACTGTTTTACAACTACTCTTTCAAGGATTTTGAAAAGAGGAACGTTGAAGATTGGTCTATAATTATCTAAGACAGGTGGATCAAGTGGTGGCTTTTAAGTAGAGGTTTAATTACTATTACTGTAGTACGTAGCCTATTGATAGAGATAAATTAATCATATTTGGAATTGTAGCTTTAATTAATGGTAAGACCTCTTTGAAAGTCTTGTAAGAATGGAGACTGACAGAGATGTTGATGGTTTAAAGGACGAAATGACTGAAGTTCTTTTAGAAAGATTGTTACAAGAGAAAAAGTCAAAATAAATATCTATAGTATTGGCTACAGTGCTGAAAAGAAGGGTTGGATTTTTCCTGTTTTCTTCAGTCTGTGACAAATAGCTTTACAGAGGGCTTTTTATAGAGCAACAAACTGTGTTTCCATGCAAAGTGAAGATTTTCTAAAGCGTATGTTTGTGGGTTATAGCAGGGAGTCAAGCATCTCTGATTTGTTGGTTTCTTTACAGAGGAGCCACAGTAATCAGGGCCATACACAGTGAGGATATTAACAAGATAATTAAGCTCTGGGAGTAAATTTTGGGTAGCTGTTCTGCATTGTGTTGGTACAAAGCATTAAAGAAGATAACAAAGAAGAAAGCACCTCTTTATATTTTATTACAGCTCTTTCCAAAAGACATGCAGTGCACTGAATTTGTTTTCCAGTGCTCTGTAGTCCATTATTATTTAACGCACTAAGTGTTATTAAGTGTTATTAAAACAAAAGGAGGGTTTTCAGGGGACACTGCTCAACGTTCAGTTTCTATGCTATAAGTCAGGACAAAAGCCAGAGTGTGATTAAAACAGTGAGTGAGCTCATTTACATTTTGAGAGAAGAAAATTTAATCTAATAATAAATGTTGAGGCTGTCATTTTCAGCATCTACATGAATGATCACCCATTATAATTATTGTAACAGAAATGAGAACTGAATGCTATAAAGAGGGCCAAGTGGACGATGGATGACTACAAATAAAACAGTTTTCTTGTATTTTCCAGTTAGGGTGTGCAAGGTTAAGAGTAAAGCTTTTGAATTAATTTTTAGTTGATTGATAACCTAGAGTGACAGATTGCTGCCACTCCTCCTCCTCAGCCTGTGCTTCAAGGAGTCTGATGCTTGATGTGACTTTGGGGCGTTGACTCGTTTAAACCAATAAATTATGCCTTGGTAAGTTTTCTGTGAGGCAAAATAAATCAGTATTTTATCCATTACTAACCATTTTTATAAAGTAAAAACACATGTTAATACTTTATAATCACCAGATAATCAGGTTCCAAACAATACATAAATGAGTTTTTAAGATTTGAAAAGATTTTCCATATTAACATACTGTATATTTTTTTTTAAAAATATGGTAAATACAGTTTTAAGGCCCATGTCTGGAAGAGAATAGTTCATTTTTTAATGTAATTTAAAACATTTTACTGGATGTGTCATTAAAAAACTGTTTAGGTCCACTGCTGTGTGAGAAAAAGACATTTGTATTTTAAAAGGTTAAGGCATACTGCTGATATGTAGCTCATAGGTTTGCGTCCCGTAGTGACAGCGTTTTATGGAAACAATTGACAAAAGCTCACTAAGCTCACAGAAATACTAGCCTGACGGCACTCCTATAGTGAGAGTGAATGTGAGAAGAGGCACAAGAGAACGAAATAATAACCACTAAGAGCTGAGGAGATAAAGGAAGACAGGAACAGCTAGATTACACGGAGGTGAGCAAGATGTTAAGCATAGTCAGTACATGATGTTCTCTTTGAATAAAGTTTGTTTGACATGCAAGAAGTCCCATTTTCAATGTTATTAGTGTGGAGTATCTAAAGTGATGGGAAAATAGATGTGGAGCTACAATCATTGCACTGAAGTGTATTATCATTTGAAAATGATTAAGTGGGGCTATTTTACTGTGACACTTTTTAAGATGTTCAATTTGATAAACGTCCTGATGTGTCAGGTGTTTCCTTTGCTGGGTTTGCTTTAACCCAGCAAATTGTTTCTACTGATATACGCCAAAATAACTGGTGTATTATGTATGAATTTTGCAGCTTATCAATACCATGATGGATCACTGTTGCCACTCCAGTGGTGCTTTATCTCTCCCTTCATCTCTCTTTTTCCTCACCTTTTTTCCACCTTGCAGGTGGGCTTTCACCCTGATCATCATTTCCTCCTACACGGCCAACTTGGCGGCCTTCCTGACCGTCCAGCGGATGGAGGTTCCCATTGAGTCTCCAGACGATTTGGCCGACCAGACGAACATCGAGTATGGCACGATCCACGGCGGGAGCACCATGACCTTCTTTATGGTGCGGCTCCGGTTGTGCTTGGGTTCGGAATTTGGGAATAATTATATGTGTGCTTTTATTCGTGTTAAATATTTTTTGTGTAGCTGTTTGGATCGACTAACTCCCTAAATCGCTCTGATAGCAATTCAGGAAATAGTTGTTCATAAAGTTTTTTATGCATTTGTGTGTTACATGTAATGGACCGTAGTGCTTCTCTCTTCATTGCTGAGAATGGAGTGAACGATTATCCTCAAATTTGCCACTCTGTCTCTGAGTTTCTCTCTTGTTTTCTTTATGGCTGTTTGTGTTTGTGTTAAGTGGCTGACTGCCTGTGTTTGCTTATGAGAACGCTACCGGCATCTGTGTTGACATCTGTGTTTGTCATAGTGTGGGTGTGCGCACGTGTGTGTGTGTGGGTCTTGTATTTGTGTGTGGGTGTGTTAGTATAGTGGAGTGTGTGTAGGTGAGTGTTTAAAAAATGTATTTGTTTATATGTTTGTATACATGGTAAATGGCAAAATGCCAGTTAGAGTTTATTTTTCAGTCACTAGTGTTCGTCCAAATGGCGGATATAAGAAAGAATGGTGTGTGTTTGCCTACATAAGCCAGTTTCATTGCCACAGTACATTACCCCACTCAATACCTAATCCACACACGCATACACAATCTCATTGTTGTACACAGATGCTACCATCTATACTCTTTTCCTTTCTTCTCCTATACAAAGAGATACTACATGTAATTGTACATTTAATCCTGTTTTGGAGCTTGCCATTTTTTGTTAAGTGCTGAACCACCTCCTGTGTGCCGATTTACTTCCATCTGTATGAAAGATGATGCATCAGCTACGCTGTGAGCAAATAATCTGTTGCTTTGCTTCACTTTCCTTTTTTCTCCCTCCACTCTCCGCGCTGCTTTTTCCCTCTGTTTGCTATTGATATTTTTACTCTGCTTGCCATTGTTCACACCTGATTTCTCTCCCGTGTGTACTTCCCTTCCCGTTTATCTTTCATATTCCTTCTTGTCGGGGAAACTTGTACATTCACCTGTAATTACTGCTGAATTGCCGTTGTTGTGTTCCTGTTCCCTCTGCAGAACTCAAGGTACCAGACCTACCAGCGGATGTGGAACTACATGAACTCCAAGCAGCCTAGCGTATTTGTGAAAAGCACGGAGGAAGGCATCGCCCGTGTGGTCAACTCCAAGTATGCTTTCCTGATGGAGAGCACTATGAACGAATATCACCGTGGCCTGAACTGTAATCTCACACAGATCGGAGGCCTGCTGGACACCAAGGGTTACGGTATTGGCATGCCACTAGGTAAAAATAATGCATCACAAAAAGTTCATGCAGCACCTGATAATGTATTACCTACTTTTAATATTTCTGTATGCAGAGAAATGTCTTAAAAATATATCTCATTGATAACTTTTTTAATTGCTTCTGTGCTTTCCAAACAAGCTAAGCTGCACACAGTTTAAAACCTGCTAATGAATTCACGAGTGAAAAGATTTTGAAAATCAGCATAAAGATCAATATGGATTTAGTGATCACGCTTCAAAGCCTTGCAGCACCCTGCAGCAAATAGTCACCTTATGTCTTACCTGAACCGACGTGCCTGACGACGCTTGGCCTCATCCAGGATTTAGAGGTCACTCACGTAGCTCTCATGCTCTACCCTTTGAGAACAGGGTGGGCCATTTATATGGATACACCGTAATAACATGGGGAGGGTTGGTGATATTAAAGTTCTGTTTGTGGCATATTAGTATTTGTGAGGGGGCAAACTCCTCAAGATGGGTGGTGACCATGGTGGCCATTTAGAAGTCGGCCATCTTGGATACAACTTTTTTCAATAGGAAGGGGGCCATGTGACACATCACACTTATTGGTAATGTCACAAGAAAAACAATGGTGTGCTTGGTTTCAATGTAACTTTATTCTTTCATGAGTTATTTACAAGTTTCTGACCACTTATAAAATGTGTTCAGTGTGCTGCCCATTGTGTTGGATTGTCAATGCAACCCTCTTCTCCCACTCTTCACACACTGATAGCAACACCGTAGGAGAAATGCCAGCACAGACTTTAATATCACCAACCATTCCCATTTTATTACGGTGTATCCATATAAATGGCCCACCCTGTAGACTCCAAATATATCCATAAAGTCATGAAAAAGCAACTGGGAACCTAGTAGAGATATAACACTGTTCCCAGACATTGCTGACGCATTTTAAAGGTGCTGTTTCACAGCATGTGAACTAAAAGAATAACATGAAGTAGTATTTAAAAAAATTATGCATGCAGATTTTTAGTTTTAATTATTTTGAGTGGTTCAAGTTAAAATATAACTGATAAAATGCAACAGGTTAACATTTCAAATCCCCTTTAATGTACCTGACTTGTGACTTGAGTTGCATCCATGTCATCAGCTAATTCGGTGTTTGCATTAATGAGCAGTTTAACAGGTGTACCACATAAAGCGAAATACTGTGACTGAGCATCTACAACAGAGACCAGGCTGCTTAATCATAAGTGACAAGGAGCTATCTCGTTTCTAAAATTATACAATTATTTGACAAAAAGAAAAAAAAACCTCATTAAATGACAGCGTGAGAAGCATTAGATCAATTATGCTAAATAGACACATGTAGTTGTCTGTGATTTGTGAGATTAGACCTGAAAATTGTCTTGTACGTGGTCGGTTTATTTTTTATCTGTGGGATTAGCAGCTATTTCAAATGGAAGTAACGTGCATACAGTTAATTGCTTTTCCACTCACGCCCAGCGCTCGTGAAGCCACTTTTTAGCACTTAGATGAGATTGTCACTGAATCACAGTAATCTGTTCCTATGAAGAGGTCAGCCATATCTCACTGTCTATTATTGACCAAGGCTGTGGAGGAATGGAGAGAAAAAGCAGACACAGAATAAAGAAGGAAAGACCACAGAGGTGAAATAAGCCTTTGTAAGGGACCTAAAGAAGAAAAAAAAACCCCAAACATATTATCTCAGTCACCTCCAGGTAAGAGGCTGTTTAAATTTAAAGAAATAGGCAGATATTTTTACACTTGAATAATTTCTTGCTGGGAGTTAGATGACAGATCTCCTTAAGGATATGCTATTAAAATCTCATTAGGGTGTCTACAGTTGCTGTTCATCAGCAAGCTGCTTGGCAACCCACCATAACCTCTGTTCTACCTTCTCGTGTCCTGTGCATTATAACTTGTACCTGCTTTACTGGGTTGTCTTGCTGCATCTCTCCCAGCCTCCAGCTTTCTGTGTATCCACATAGAAGCATGGGAAAGTGGTGGGAGGTGATGCCAAATTTATATTGCTGCACTCATTAGTTGTCCTGATTGAAATCGTTTTTTTTTCTGGCGGGAGGTTGGTGTTCTCCAGCAGTGACTTAGCGAAGGAGGCATGATAATCACTGAACAACTGTCAACACTTTCTATAGAGACTGTTTATGTGCAGAAGGCCTGTCTAATAAAAGCTGCCTGTTGATTATCTTCACAGCTAAATACCATTATGCTAAAGAAAACATATTTGTCATTTGCACAGATGGAACCTTTAAACCCTCTAAATCTGTTCCAGCAGATCTGGTTTGCTGCATACTTTGTATGCTATTCAACCAGCTGCTGAACCACTGTGTCCGTCTAGTTGTTATCTTGCTGTCTATCTCTCACTAATCCTCTCTTTATTCTCACCATAAGATCACTTCTAGCCATCTCCAAGCTGCAGCGGCAATTCTCTTTTTCTGCTTAGTCTCTTTAACACTTAATCATTTCATGTTTTTCCCCTTTTTCTGAAAAAAAAAAAAAAAATCTCTCCTGTCTGGTCTCTTATGCTGCACCTTGCCCACCACTTGCTCTTATCCTGCCTTCTTGTTTTTTTTCCAGGATCTCCATTCAGAGATGAGATCACACTGGCCATCCTCCAGCTGCAGGAGAATAACAGGCTGGAGATACTAAAGAGGAGGTGGTGGGAGGGAGGCCAATGTCCCAAAGAGGAGGACCACCGTGCCAAGGGTGAGTCGACCGCAGCTGTCTGCCTCCGTTGCCTCCTTCTCTCTAATGTCCCCAGTAATAGTCTCCTCACTCTCTGCTACCGTCCAGCTAATGGCTAATGCCTAACCTAATGTCCTTGCGAAGGGTACTTAGCACAATCTACTTTCCCAGATGTCTTCTGTTTGTCTCAGGTGGTGCATAATGTGAATTTTATTGGAGACAGTGTATCTGTTTACATGTGTGTATTAAGAGTGTGTATATGTGTGGGCAAAGCCTCTGTATGAATGACAGAGATGATGAAAACATCTCTGCGTTTATGCCACTGATGTCAGATGAAAATCTCTTTTAAAAATTATTTTGCTAACAAAATGCTTCAGTTCAGGCATTTCAGTATTGTTACACTTTATCAGTGCAGCTTATCTCAAACCCTTCAGGGCCCTATAATTCTGTTTGTCACTCAAGCACTTCATTCCAGGCAATTTAAATTTGAAACTCAGATGAAAGAGTACTGAGCAGTGATTTAGGATTACACTCACATTAAGTTTTTGGTTATTACTGTGGGTCAAGCTGTAGAAGATAGAAAGTCTAGTACTTTCCACAACGCAGCATGGTAGCATCTTTGTTAGACCACTTACTTCCAGCAGATTATCAATTAGAAAATATGAATCATGCAAAACTTACATTATGAATATTATGACAATTAAGGTGTTTTCTGATACTTAATCAACAGCTGAAATAGAAATCTGTACAAGAGCAGTAGCATCAAGCTAGAGTCTGGTTAGCTTAGCTTAGCTTAGCTTAGCATAGCGCAAAAAAAAAAAAAATAGAAGATAAAAATAAGCAGCCTGCGACTATCGGCAGGTTTAAAGTGCACACCATTAGTTCTCCCATCACATAGTTGGGTCGATTTGTGTTACTTAACCTCTGTACACCACCACAGTGGATTTTAAATAAAACTGTCAAGATGTGATTGAAGTGCGTACTTTTAACTTCAATTCATGTGGTTTAACAAGACATTTAATGAGTATTACATTATTTGTTTAGAGATTACAGCAACATTTTATACAAAGTCACTCATTTTCAGAGCCTCAAAATTAATTAGACTAACATAATTTGAAATACAGGGACTGTTTTTAATATTTGGATGAAAATCCTTCAAGCCATTGACTGTCAGAAATCCATGGATGTCATCAAATTCTGCATTTCCTCCTTTAAAGGGCTCTTCCAGGCCTCTGCGGCAGCCACTTTCACTTGCTGCTTGTCTGTGGGTGTTTTATATTTAATAAAAGAATGCTCTGTTTGGTTTAGATTAGGTGACTGACTTGACCAGTGAAGAATAAACCCATTTCTTTGCCTTGAGAAATTCTTGGGTTGTATTTTCAGTATTAACTTGTGAAGCACTGCCCGATCAATTTTGCAGCATTTGTCAGAATCTTTCTTTCTTTCTTTTTGCTTTACATTTTTCTTCCCCTCACTCTGGCACAAGTGAATCTAGGTTTTCCCATTTAATCGATTTTTTTTCCAGATATCTGCAGACTCTTTATTTGTTCTGTGGAAAATACTAATCTGGCCTTCATGTTCTTGAGTGTAACTACTAGTTTGTAGCTTATTGTAAATGCTCTGTATTTGCATTTATGAAGGCGCCTCGTAATTGCAGACTTTGACAAAGATACACTTACGTCCTTACGTCCTCGCGAGTGTTCTTGGCTTTGTTAGATGTTATGAAGATGTTTTTCTTAACCATGGAAAAAATTCTGTCATTATCCAGCTTATTTGTCTTCTGTGG